CGGTACCTCCGGCCGCTCCCGCTCCGCCGCGATCGCGCACAGGAAGCGGCGGCCGCCCCCGCCCCATGTCCCGCCCCGTGTCCCCCATTCCCCGTGTCTCCCCCCTCCCTTCTCCCAGGAGCCGCCTCCGTGTCCCCCCCGCCCCCCCCCGCGGGGCTCCGGGACACCGGGAATGGGCGGGGGGCGCCCCCTGCTGGGCGGAAGAGCGCGGTGCGGGGGGGTGAGACCCCCTCCGAGGTACCGGGACCGCCCCAACCGAACCGGAGCCCTCGTGTGCAGGTGGTACCGGGGGACTGGGATGGCCCCCGTGGGCACCAAACCGCCAGTGAGAGACTCCTCGGGATGCACCGGGACCTCCCCAGAGAGCACCGGGATGCCCTCAAATGCCCCGGGATGATCCTTGAGTGCACCAAGACACCCCCAAGTGAACCGGGAGCCCCCCAAGTGCACTCGGACCTGCCAAGTGCAGTTGGTACTGAAAGATGGGGACCCCCTCTATCCACCGGGACCCCCAAAAGTGCACCAGGAGCCCTCAAAATGCACCAGATCCACGCCAGGACGCACCAGAACCACCCCAAATGTACTGAGACCCCCCAGTATGCATCAGGCTCCCCAAGGCCCACCGAGTGTGGGTGTACCAGGTGAACTGGGACCCTCCCAGTACACCAGGACCCCTCAGTGGGCAGCTGGGACTGGGTGAACTGGAACCCCCGAATGCACCAAGAACCCCCGCGCGCACCGGGCACCCCAAAGCGCCCTGGGAACCCCCAAAATGCAGCTGGTTTGGGGTGAACTGGGACCTCCTTGTATCCACCAAGAACACCCCCCATCCCCGGGCACTGGGATCCCCATAAAGATGCCAGGACCCCACCTACACGCACTGGGGTCCCCAAACGCAGCTGGTTTGGGGTGAATCAGCACACCCTAGACCCACCAGGACCCCCCCAAGTGCCCCATGTGCCACCTGCCCGCTCCCCCACCTCGACACCGCCACACCCACCTGAGCGACGCCCCAGCCCTCCTGTCCCCTCCCCGACCCCCCCGTCCCTCCCAGTCCCTCCCAGTCCTCCCAGTCCCCCCCCCTCCCCGTCGGGTGCCGGGGGCGCGGGCGCTTCCCGCTATGCCGGATCCCACCGGAATTCCCGGCTGGGCCGGGGCAGCGGGACGGGACGGGGGGGCCCGGGGGGCAGGGAGAGGCTGCGGCCGCCCCCGTGGCCTCGTGCCCGGGCTGGTCCCGCTGTTCCCGGTGCTCCCGTACCTGCGAGGCCGGGGCCGGGGGGCAGCAGCAGCCCCGGCGCAATTCCATATCCAGCGCTGACCCCCGCGCCACTGTGGCGCGGCTGCGCTCGTCCCGCCGGAACATGGGCAGGGGTCCCGGGTATCCCGGGAAGTCCCAAGGGGGTCCGGAAGGTCCGGAGGTGTCTGGAGAGTCCAGGGGTTCTTGGGGGATCCCGGGGTTCGAAGTCTTCGGAGGGGTCCGGGAAGTCTCGGGGGGTCCCGGTGTCCCCGTGCACCAGAGTTTTGGAGGGGTTCCCGGTGTCCCAGGTGGTCTCGGTCCTCTGGAGCCTTCAAGGGGATCCCGGGGGAGCCCCGCGGGGTCCCGAGGTCCGAAGCTTTCCGGGAGCTCCTAGCAATCCGGGGGTTCTGGGGATCCCGGTGCTCCGGGAGAGAGGTCGAGGGACTCCCGGCGTCCGGAGAGTTTCCCGGAGCTCTCCCGGGCTCCGGCGCACCTGGGACAGGTGGGAGACACCGGGATGGACACACGGGGAGATGCCGGGGTGGACTCTCCCGGCCCCGCAGAGCTCCGGGACCCCGCGGCGGGGGGGGCTGTGGCGCCGATCGGTGCCGGCGGCTCCTGGCACGGGAGGGACAATGGCCCGGGGCAGCGGCAGCTGCGAGTGGGGGGCGGGGGGTGTCTCTGTGTGTGTCGGGGTGTGACATCTGTGCGTGTGTGACATCTCTGTGTGTGCGCACGGGAGGGCACGGAGCTGTAACCCCTCTGCAGATGTCCCAGTGCCACCCCCTGCTCAAGCAGTGCCACCTGGAGAGGTGACACACGGCCAGGTGACCTGTCCCAAGACCCTCCGTGGGGAGCAACTCTGCCTCGTGCTAAACTGGGATTTGTGTTTAATTCGTGGCCAAAACTCCTTGTCTTGACCTGGGCGCCATCCTGACACCCTGGGGAGACATCTGTAGGGCTGGATGGGGTTTTTGTGTGGATGGATGGAGTCTCCTCCCAGATGAGAGCTTTGTGTGAATATTTGAGGTATTTGGGTGGGTATTTAAGGGGTTTGTGCGGATATTTGAGATATCTGGGTGAGTATTTGAGGGTTTTGTGTGGATATTTGGGATATTTGTGTGGATTGATGAAGTGTTCTCTCAATCTTCTCCCCGGACAAACCAGACCCAGCTCCCTCAGCCTGAGAAGTGCTTCAGACCCCAAATCACCCCCATGGCCTCCTCTGGACCCGCTCCAGAAGCTCCAGGTCTCTCTGGTCGCGACACAGCACTCCATATGTGCCTCACCTGGGCAGGGCAGAGGGGCAGGATCAATCCCTCACCTGCTGGCACTGCCCTTCCCCATGTCTCCCGGGATTCCATTGCCCCCAGGACCCGCGGCTGGACAAGGAACAGCTCCCCACGATTCCACAGCTCACACCTGAGCTCACCCCTGTGTATTCATCCTGTGGTTTCACACACACCTGCACAGCTCATACCTGAGCTCACACCTGAGTTCACACATCTGCCCCGGGCGGCCCAAATACACCCGCGGCACGAGTTTCACCTCGGGACAGTGCGCAACGTGCCCACTTCAAAGATGGCAGCGGCAGCGTCACCCGCCTCGGATAACGGGCGGAAGCGAGTCCGGGCGGAAGCGAGTTTGGGCGGAAGTGAGTCCGTCCCGAATTGGGTCCCCCGCAGCCGGATGCGCAGGGCCTGGAGGCGCAGCGGAATGGAGGCCGGAGGCCACGGTGAGAGGGCGCGGGGCCGGGGAGGGTCCGGGGGGGCTGCAGGGTCGCTCCCTGGCGGGGCAGGGCCGGCGGGGATCTCTCTCTGACCTTGTGTCCTCCCTCACAGGGCAGGAGGCCGAGGCGGGCGGCCATGGCGGCCACAAGAAGAAACACAAGAAGCACAAAAAAAAGCACAAGAAGCGGCACCACCACGAGACAGGGCCGCCCCCCGCTCCCGAACTCCCTCGGCAGCCCCGGCTGCGGCTCCGGATTAAGCTGGGAGGGCAGATCCTGGGTACAAAGAGGTGAGGAGGGAGCTGGGGGGCAGATCTTGGGCACCAAAACGTGGGAGGGGGAGGTGGGAGGCTGGGCCGGGGATGTTTCCATGTGTCCTTCTAATCGGGACCCCCCCAGCCCGGCCTCACCAGCGTCCCCAAACTCCTCTCTCTTCCCCTACAGCGTCCCCACGTTCACGGTGGTCCCTGAAGGGACACACTCGCCGTCCCCACTGCTGGGAGGAGACGAGGAGGAGCCCACCGAGGGGGTCCCCATCGAGCAGTACCGAGCCTGGCTGGGTGAGCAGGGGGGGCTCATGGGGGGAGCTCAGAGGGGAGGGGCTGTGGAGAGGGCAGGAGAAGCTCTGAGGGGGAATGGGGGTGCTCAGAGTGAGGACTGCTTGGGGAGGGGGTGCTCTGGACCCTTCTTGTGGCTCCAGAGTGATGTGACCCCACCCCCCATGACTATTCCCATCCCGGCCCCCACAGATGAGGACAGCAACCTGGCCCCCTCCCCACTGCCCGAGCTGGACCCCGAGAGCTGCTTCCCTCCCCGTGAGGAGGGGGAGGAGGAGGAAGAGGAAGAAGAGGAAGAAGAGGAGGAGGAAGAGCGACGCTGGCTGGCAGCCCTCGAGAGGGGAGAGCTGGACGACAACGGTGACATCAAGAGGGAGGTGGACGAGTCCCTCCTGACAGCCCGGCAGGTCAGGGGGCATGGGAGACTGGGAACAAGGCTGAGGGGGATTTGTGGGGGCTTCAGAGCTGCTGGCACAGGTCTGGGGAGAGGCTGTGTGGGTTTGGAGACACTGGGATGTGTTGTCTGGGATGCTCAAGGAGTTCCAGAATCAGAGAGAAGCTGGGCTGATGGGGGACTGGGGAGCCTTATAGCCCCTGGGGCATGACTGAGGGGATCTGGAAGGACTGCAGGGACCACAGAACTGCTGTGGGGCTGAGCTGGAACCCTTGGGGAGTCCTGGAACTGATGGAGAGGCAGTTTGGAGGCTGGGGGGACCTATGTGGATCTCCCAGACCACCCTGACACCTCACCGTGCCCTCTCAGCGTGCGCTGCTGCACAAGCAGCAGAGCCAGCCCCTGCTGCAGCTGCCCATGGGCGCCAAGGCCAAGGAGGTGACGGAGGAGATGCGGGAGAAACGAGAGGAGCGGGCGCGGCGCCGGCGGCTCCAGGCTGCCCGCAAGGCCGAGGAGAGCAAGAACCAAACCATCGAGCGCCTGACGCGCACGCACAAGGCCAAGGTGAGAGCCCTGCGTGAGCGCCGCGCCCGCCCCGCGCCCTGCCCCGTGGTGCACTACCGCAGCGCCGCCGACGGCGTCACCGTGTCCTTTCCCGTGGGGCTGCCCCTGCCGCTGCCCCCCGCCACCGCCCCGCCCGTGCCCCCCACCCAACCCTGCGCCGTGCCCGGCTGCCACAACCCCAAGCGTTACAGCTGCGCCCGCACCGGGCGCCCCCTCTGCAGCCTGGGCTGCTACCAGCGCAACCTGCAGCTGCTGCAGAGCCCGGGGTGACCCCCCCAGAGGGGGCTGCGGGGGGCTACGGACCCTCTCTGGGGGCTACGGATCCTTTGCCACGAATACAAAGGGCCAGATCTCCGGGCCTTATGGACATAGGGAATTGCAGAGGGGTCTGGATTATCCACATGGACGCAGAGGGCAGGAAGAGATCTCCACTGTGGACTTGAAAGCTGTGGGGGAGCTTCAGACCTTTCACATGGACTCAGAACAGAGGGCTTTAAACCCTCTGCCGTGGACACAGAGGCTCTGGCCACTCCACATGAACACAAGGGACCAGGACAACTGCAGTTCCTCATGGACACCGTGAGCTCTGGCTCCTCCAAATGGATATGGACAGCCAGGATACGGAGTTCCAGAGAGCTCCAGCCTCTCCACCGTGGACACAGAGGGTTGGGGACCCCGGCAGGGACTGAGGGTGGTCCTGAGGGGATGAAGGAAAGGGCGGGTCCTGGTGTCGCGGAGCTGATTAAAGGCTGTTGTTGAAGTAGCCATGTGTGCGTCTGCTGGGATGGCGAGGCAGCCCGACCCCCCGGGAGCGCTGTGGTATAGTCCGACACCCCCAGAAACACTATGGTACAGACCTCCCTCCCCCGGCAGGGCTGTGGAACAGTCCGAATCTCCCCCCGGTGCGTTATGGTCTGTCCCGCGGTGGAGGGCGGGAGGAGCGCTCTCTTCCAGCGCCCATTGGCTGGGGCTCTGCCCAGCGGAGAGTAGCGACGCTGATTGGTTGGATTGCTTTGCCAATCAAATGGACGAAGGGCTGCCTGCGCGCCAATTGGCCGCGTTGTGCCAAGTGCCAGCCCCAAGGCGGACCAGGGGACCGCGCCCTCCGTCGAGATCGGGGCTGGGTCTCCATTTGCGGTCACCGCTGTCAGTCATGGTCTGGGGGCGGTGCTCTGTCGCCGGTTGGTCGCTGAGGCCGCCAATCACTTCGGGGGCGGGGTTCGGCTCCTTTGTCTCTGTTGTTGGGCGTGAGGCTCAGGCAGACGGCGAGCGATTGGCTGAAGCCAGGCGGCGGTGCCGGCGCCAATTGGCTGTCGGCTGCAGAGCGCCCGCTGGTTGGTCGACGGTGGCCGCGGGGGCGGGATTTCGGGCCGGGCGTGATGGCGGCGACGACGGCCCCGGCCCGGGCGGCGGCGGCCGCGGTGGCCGCGATGGCGGCGGCGGCGGCGACGGGGCGGCGGCGGCTGCTGCGGGCGGCGGGGGCCGCGGCCGGGCGGGCGCGGGGCTGCGGCGGGCTTTAGGCGGCGGCGCCATGGAGCGGCCCGGGAGCGCCGAGGGGGCCTGGGCCGCGCTGCTGGGCCGGCAGCACCCGCAGGTACCGGGCGGGCCGGGGCGGGGGGGCCGCGCGCGGGGCCGCGGTGACGGTGCGGCCGTGCCCGCAGGCCCGGGAGTTCTGCCCGGGGGTGAACAACCGGCCCTACGTGTGCGAGACCGGGCACTGCTGCGGGGAGAGCGGCTGCTGCACCTACTACTACGAGCTGTGGTGTGAGTTCGGGGGGATGCGGGGAGAACGGAGGGGATCGGGGATTCTGGGCGGACTAATGGCTTCGGGAAGATCCGGGACTCCAGGGGGGTCCTGAGATTCGGAGAGGTCAGGGGCTGTGTCGGGGCTGAGGGTTCCGTGTGAGTCCTGCGGGAACTGGGGTGGGAGACGGGGACTGAGAGCTCCGAGGACAATCGGAGCCTCTGGGGCGGTCCTGTGGCGCAGGGGGCCTGTGGGCTTTGAGCTGCTTTGGAGGCTCAGGAAGAGCTGGGACTGAGGGTTCTGGGCTGGGGGCTGCATCCGAACCCCCCGTGGGAATGGAGGTTCTATGTGAGGGTGACCCCCCGCTCCGCGCCCCCGTTCTTGCAGGGTTCTGGCTGCTCTGGACCATCCTGATCCTGCTGAGCTGCTGCTGCGCGTTCCGGCACCGCCGGGCCAAGCTGCGCCTGCAGCAGCAGCAGCGGCAGCGTGAGATCAACCTCATCGCCTACCACGGTGCCTGCCAGTACCCCCCCTCCTCGGGGGACCTCCGTGAGTGAAGGATTTCTGAATTTCCCCCATACCCCTCAGTCCCACCCCTTACAGCACCACCCCCCTCCGTGCGGGACCTCAGTGAATCGGGACCCCCAGCACCTCATATGTGTCACCCCCAGCCCCCCGTCCCCGACTATCTTCACGGGGGAATCTCAGTGAGTCAGGAACCCCTGTACCAACCCCCAGTATCCTGGATCCCCTGTCCCTGCTCCACAGACCCCCACTCTCAGCCCCTGCATTCCCCAACCCCACATCTCCACCCCTGCCCTGTGCTGTGCTCTCCAGCTCCATCCCCTTGAGCCCCACATTCCACCAGCTCTGCCTTGTGCCAAGCTGTTCCCTCCCCGTCCCCTTCCATCCCCTGGGGGCTGTTTCCCAGTGTCCCCACGTGTCCCAGGTGTCCCCCTGACCCCGCCTCTTCCTCCCCCAGGGCTGCTGGCCTCCTTCAAGCTCCCGGCGTATGAGGAAGTGGCGCAGCGCCCCGGGACGCCGCCGCCGCCCTACAGCCCCGGGAGCCCCTCATTTTCCCCCGGCTCCTCCGGGGGCTGCAGCTCCTGCTCCTGCGGCTGCTCCTGCGCCTCCTCCCCCAGCAGCTCCTCACTCTCGGCACCGGGCACCGACGAGACGGACCCGGAGCCGGGCCCAGGCCCGGGGGGTGGTAGCGCCAGCCGTGACGGTGGCTCCAGCAGCACCGGCACTGGTGCCAGCTGGGACCTGCCCCTGCCCGAGGAGCTGCCGGCCTGCAGGGACCCCCCCAAACAAGTCCCCTTGGACTTCTGTGAAGCCGAGGGCCACCCCTGCTCCGACACCGAGGGGGGCGAGGGCAGGGGGGGCAGAGCAGTGCCAGGGGGTTGCCCCGGGAGGCACCGGCGGCTCACAGGGGATTCGGGCATTGAGGTGGGCCGTGGCCTAGAGGAGGAGGAGGGCGAGCCTGAGGGCTGTGGGGGACCGGGGGGTGGTGGGGGACCCGGCTCACCTGTGCTGCCTGTCTGAGCCCCCCCCCCAGGACCCCCAGCTGGGGTCTGGACTCATCACAGAGCCTCTGGGGGCCCCCTGCCCCGACTGACACCCACCCTGCAGTGTGGCGGGGTCCTGCTGGAGCCCCCTCCCCTCCAAACTGCTTCTGGGGCCTCCCCTGTGATCCTGATGCTGCTGCCTGGGGGGGCCCCATTGCCCGGGGGATGCCTGAGACCATGGGGGTGGGTGGTCCTGGCGCGTTCTCTCACCATTAAAGAAATGTGGAAGTACCATCGCCCCTTGTGATGGGTGCAATGGGCTGGGTGGCGACCCTTGGCTCCACAGAGAGGGGGCAAAACACCCCCCCCATGGCACAGGGAGCACCAGCCTGACCTGGGGTCAGCAAAGGCAACACTGTGACACCCTGACATGGGTGGCGAGACGCCACAGTCATGGAGCTTTATTGCAGGGGAGGCAGGAGAGCTCTGGCATAGCCCCCCAACACCTCCCCTGACCCTGAGCATGCCAGGCAGGCAGGGAGCACAGAGACTCCCCCGACATCAATAGTCCTCAGCCATGGCCAGCACGACAAGCGCGGACCAGCCGGCAAAGGGGTGACAACCCTGCCCGGTGCCATCACTGTCCCGATAGTGCTCCCACAGGAAGCCGGTGGCCTCGTACTGCCGGAACACGTTGGCCACGAGGTTGTGGCGCAGCTCCCGGTACAGCTCAGCTGCGCGTTCTCGGTGCGGCCCCGCCGCCTGCGCATAGCCATGCAGCGCCTGCAGCACCAGGAAGTTGATGTTGACCCAGATGGAGCCACGCCAGTACGGGGGGTCGTGCTCGGTGTTGCGGCGCAGGTACCAGGGGCTGTCGCGGGCCAGCGAGCGCAGCCCGAAGGGCGTCCAGAGCTGCTTCTCGTTGCGCATGGAGTCCAGAAGTGCCGGCAGCCGCGGGGAGTCCGCTTGGAGCAGCTGCAGCAGCAGAGGGAACAGGCTCACGTAGCCCAAAGCACCCACAAACTGCAGCCGTGGCGCCTCCCGCACCTCCCGCCGCAGCTGTGGAGCTGGCGGGGGCCTGCCGGGCACGGGGGCTCCACGGTGCCAGCGCAGAGCCACGGCCGTGCTGTGATTGCCAAAATCGGCAAAGGTGCCCAGTTCAGGCGCCCAGTGCAGTTGGTCCAGCAAGTCGTTGTCGCTGAGGGCCGCGGCCATGTCGCGATAGGGTGCGAGGGGCTCGCCCAGGCGCTCGGCCAGCGCCGCCAGCACGCGGGCGCCCAGCGCCATCCAGCAGCGCAGGTCCAGGTGCCGCTCCTGTGCAGATGGGTGGGAGGCACGGGGGTAATCGTCCAGCCCCGACGACAGAGTCTTGGGGTTCAGGAAGCGCTCGAGATCGGTGTCGCGGCCGCGCCAGCGGAAGGTGAAGGGCTCGGGGCCGGCCTGGGTGCGGTTCAGCCACTCGAACCAGGCACGCAGGCGCGGGAAGAGGCGGCGCAGGTAGGGCAAGGGCGCGTCGGGCAGCAACCGCTCCAGTGCCAGCAGCAGTGTCGGGGGGTTCGCCGTCTCGCTGTGCTGCAGCACAAACTCAGGGGGCACGCGGGCCCGCGCCTCATCCCCTAGGATCTGCTCCCGCGGGATCCAGCCGTCAGCATTCAGGAGGTCGAGCCAGTGGGCGAGGATGTCGCGGGCCAGCGCGGGGTCCCAGCGGCTCAGCAGCAGCAGGTGGAAGCCCTCATCCCACAGGAAGCCACGTGGAAAGCAGGAGCGCGAGGGCACAGCCGTGAACAGCATGGACTCGATGCCGGGCACTGGCTCTTCCCGGTGCTCCGAGCGCAGCAAGGAGCGCCCATGGAAGAAGCCAATCCCGCCCAGCATCTCGCTGAGCGCAGCCTGGGCGAAGCGGCGCTGTGGGAGGGACACTCCACGTGCCCCCAGCCCGAAAGTGTCCTCAAAGCGTTGCTCAAAGTTGGCTACGTGCTGGGCTAGCGCTGCGCTCAGTGCCGGCCCCGCCAGCCGCCCACGTCGCACCCCTGCCGCGCTGCCCGACTCCAGTGTCACCTCCAGCACCGCTGGTGGCTCCAGTGTCACCTGGTGCAGCAGCAGCTGCCCCCGCGGGGACTCCCCAGGCAGCCCCCCAGTGCTGGACACCCCGAAAAAGCGGCGGCGGGTTCGGCCCGGTGGGGAGAACACGGAGCTCTCGCGGAGGCTCTGGCGGACCAGGTCGGTGAGACGGTGCAGCCCTGGCACCCCCGCGGCCAGGAAGTTGTAACTGGGGGAGACAGGAGAGTCAGGGACATAGTGGGGACATGGGAGCAGATGGAGGGAACACAGAGAGTTTGGAGGCCGTAGCCCAGACGCTCACCTGGCATACTTATGCCCCTCCCCGCCCTCTCCGGTGGGGGGCAGGAAGGTGAGGGTGAAGTCCCCAAGCTCCTCCGCCGTCCCTGCCACGGCCGCCAGCCGTGTCCCGTTCTCCAGCACCGGCCGGAGCGTCCCCTGCCCATCTGTGGCCACGTAGAAGAAGAGGGACAGGAGAGGGGCCGGGCCCTTGCCCTGGGGAGGAGAAAGAGAAAGATGACAAAAGCTCCCTGGCATCCCAACCCCTCTCCCACTCTCATCCCCTCACCTCCATCTTCACTGTGACCCGCCAGCTCCAGTCGCCACCGTGCTCTCCCCCCGGCTGCTTCACGAACTCGGTTCTCAGCACCAGCCCCTCATCGCGGATCTCCTGCACTCCGAAATTCACCCCGTCGTGCATCAGCCACCCATATCGCGACACGCCGTCGTTCTGATCGCTCGTGTGCCGCAAGTTGCCGCCGTGTTGGAGCCACATGAGTCCTGGAGGGGCGGGGAGGTGTCAGGGGCGGCTCTCGTGGTGGGAGCGGGGCCGGACGAGCCCCAGGGCGGGACAGAGCCCCCCGCGCCCCTCACCGGTCACGACAGCGCGCGGGCTCCGCGTCTTCATCCCGAAGTAGACATGAGGCCGGTACGTGCCCCAAAAATAGGTGGGGGATGAGAGAGGCCCGGTGGAGCCTGGGGGTACGGCGGGGGGCGCGGGGTGGGGGGTGACGAGGCGGGAGGCTTCTCTCCACCGGTTCCATTCAGCCACCGCCGCCGCCAGACCCAGCGCCAGCGCTGCCGCCGCCGCTATAAGCACCAGAGCCGTCCGGACCCGCCCGGAGCCTCGCGCTGTCTTTTGCTGTTGCCGCAGTTTCGGGTCCCGGTCCCGGAGCCGCTCCCGGGGCCGTTCCCGGGGTCCATCCCCGCCGCGCCGCCGCCGCTCGCCCGCCATCAGGGCTGTCGCGCTCGTGACGGCAGCGCCGCGCCACGTCAGGCGAGGCCGATCCCGCGAGCTCCCCCTGGCGGGCGGGAGGAGCACGCGCAGGCTCGGTCCTCCCAGGTACCCCGAGGAACCCAAACTGGCCCCGAGGGGTCAACGACACAGCGGGGTGTCCCCGACCAGCCCTGCCACCCAGTCCACGCTCCTCACGTCGGGTTTGTTTGCCTGTTGATCTCCCTAACCTCTCCGGGGACACCCAAAGGACTCTCAGCCTTCCCTAGGACCACCCCGGAATCCCATCCTGCACCCCCAGCCCATCCAGGACCTCTTAGCCCCACCAGTCTTCCCACAAGTGATCCAATTAGATCCTGCCCACCAGCAACTGGTCCCAGTTTGAATCCCAGGATCACACCCCAGGGATGCCAGACTCCAATACCTTGATATACCACCCGCAGACATAGCCACAGCCATTGTATTGCCAGGTTTATTCCAGGTCAGCCCTCGGGCTGTTCCCGACACATGGCAGCCCTGGCACACGCCAGCGGCGAGCACGGTGCAGCCGCAGGGAAAGCCACTGCTGCTGACTGCCTGGGAATGGGGACTCAGGACGGGACGGGACACTAGCCTCTGGAGCTGGTGGGGGGGTCCCTGGGGTTGGGCCTGGCCCCTCCAGAGGGTCCAGACCAGGGAGAGGGTCCATGGATGGTTCCAAGGGGTGGGCGCCTTCGTCTGAGCCTGGAAAGGGATGGAAAGGCTGGAATATTAGATCCTGCTCCTGGGGGGGTTCCTGTCCCCATCCCTGTCCCCATTCCAATCCTATCACCATCCTTGTCCCTCTCCCTGTCCCCACTCATCCTTGTCCCAATCTCCCTATCCCTATCCCACCCTGTCCCATCCCATCTCCACCCTATCTCATCCCAATCCTACTCCACCTCATCCCATCCAATTCCCATCTCATCACCACCCCAACTCATCCCCATCCCCATCCCACCCCATCCCACTCCATTCCCACCCCACCCCGTTCTCACAGCAGCGCCGGAGGCTGCTCCAGCCCCGGGGGGGACCCCCCAGCCCCCCGGGCTGCTGCAGGAGGCACCGCACGGCCGTGTCCGTGTGTCGGAAGACGCAGAGGGCCCGCAGCGCCTGTCGGGCCTCGGGAGCCAGCCCGGAGCGCTCCGAGCACACCAGCTCCCGCACCGCCTCAAAGTCCCGCCGGAGCTGCAGGGCACCCTGCAGGCTGGGATGGGGGTCAGCGTGGGCATGGGACCCCTGGAATCCCCACCAGGACCCCACCAGAACCCTCTGGCACCGCCACCACACTCTGGGACCACCACTGAGACCATGGGACTGCCATCAGACCCCCAAGACCACCACCGGGACCCCCCCCAGCTGCCCACAGAACCTCTGGCACTGTCACCAGGACCCTTAGGACCCCCACTGGGACCCTTGGTACCATCAACAGGACCCCAACCAGCCACTGGCCTGTCATTGCACCCCCAGCACTGCCACTGGGACCCCCAGAACCCCCACTGGGACCCCTGGCATTGCCCACAGGCTGTGGATCCCCATCCCCAATACCTGAACTTGATCCGGCGGGTCAGGATGTGATCCATCCAGGCCTCCAGGAAGGCCGTGGTTACCCGTGCCAGGGTGGGCACCTGGGCATCGTGGGGCAGGGCCTGGGCCCCCTGCAGCACCTGCCCCAGCACCGCCTGCACTGCAGCTGCCGCATACGCGCTGGGGGAGCTGGGCAGCTCTGGGGGACACAGGGACCCAGCTCAGTGACACCATAAAGCCCCCCCCTAACCACCCCACATCCCACCAGCCCCAACACCCACCAGCACGTGGCCCAAGCCGCCAGTGCCGGCCCAGCGGCATTGTCTGGTCGAAGATCTCAGCTGAGAGCCGTTTGCAGCTGGTGGAGAACATCCAGAGCACTTCCCCGGAGAAGAGCTGGGACACAGGGAACACAGGATGACACAGAGTGACACAGGGTGACATCAGGTGACACAAGCATCCTGGTGCTCAGGACTCCCCTCCCGCAGTCCCACCATACCTGGATGTTGTTGGTCACATCACAAATCTGCCGGCATAGCTGGAACTCCCACGGGGATCCCGGGCTGGGGAGTGGCTCAGAGGGGCTGTCCCCGTGAATGTTCCCTGGCTCCGGGAAGGTCTTGCTCACCTGCAGCATCAGCTGCTCTGCCTCTGCCTTCAGCATCTAGAGGGCAGCAGGTGGAGTAAATCCAGCTCCCCGTGTCCTCCCAGACCCCCGTGCCCCCTGTGCCCCCATACCTGCAGGTCTCCCTGGGTGATCAGCAGGAACTGAGGAAGCGCCCAGGCTGCCAGGTACTGCCCGGCCCGGCCCGTCAGCCACGTGTGGGCGGCCGCCACTGCCGCCAGGCACCGGCTCAGCACCTGCAGCCGCAGGCAGAGACCCCGGGGGGAGGCTGTGGGTGGGGGTCAGCACAGAGAGAATCCCCACACCCACCTGTCCCCTCCCCGGACCCCTCTCACCGTGTGGGCGGACCGGCAGCAGGTGCAGGCAGCGCAGGGCTAGTGCTAGGGCTGGGAAGAGGCACCGGAGCTGTTGGGCCGTGCGGCTGCACCCCGGCCCTGGAGGTCCCCCTGGGGCCTCCAAGCACTTGTCTGACAGCCCTGAGCCCAGAGCACGGGTAAAATCTGGAGGAGAAACAGTCAGAAGGCCCCAACATCCTCCACTTGCACTCCACCCCCCGCCATACCCCATATCTAACACTTCATAGCATACCTCACTCCCTCACCTCATATCCACCAAGTACCCCACACCTTGCCCCGCACCTTGTACCCCAAAGCCCACACTCTGTACCCCACCCTGTGCTGCCCCAGCCCCTCATACCCGTGTCCCAGCTGCAGAGGACGCTCCGGCACAGCAGGCGCAGGCAGAGTCCCCCCAGCTCCTCCTGGCACTCAGGGGGCACACGGGCTGTGGGGACACACCGGGGCTCAGGGCAGAGCAGGGACACCCTGAGGGACCCCCACACCCCCTGTGCCCCCACATACCAACAGAGAGTGCACGGCTCAGCTCCCACGCCGCAGTGACGGTGGCACCGGGGGTAGCAGGAGGGGTGCCCAGGCTGTCCCCCAGCACAGCTCCCGCATCCTCCCAGAGCAGCAGGCGGTACCGGGCACTCAGTGCAGCAGCCGCAGGGCCACGGGCAGCATCCAGCCACCGCACGGCTTTCCAGCCACCTGCACTGCCTGGCCGCAGCCCCGGGGGCTCGGGGCTCTCTGACAGCACTGGCTGCCACAGGCTGTCAGCTGAGGCCACCAGCGCCCCAAAAATGTGTCCCATCAGCTCTTCATCCTCCTGGCACAGCGCCTGCAGCTCAGCCACCAGCACTGGTGGCTCCTCTGCTCCAGAAAGCTCTGTGCCCATCCCCATGCCCGTCTCTGCCGTGTTTTGCCCTGGTGGCCACGGCACCACCACATCCTTCCAGCAGACTTGTCCATCCCTGACGTTCCCATTCTGGGGCCTCAGGAGGGGCTGGAGCCTCTGGGCGACAGCCCGGCCACGCTCGGCCGCCAGCAGCCGCAGCACCCCGCCCACCGTGAAGGCACTGGGGGCCTTCACCTCGGGGCCCAGCTCCTCTGCTAGCCCCTGCACCACGCGGTTGTAGATCTCCAGCCCCTGGAAGAGGTCAGCCAGGCACTCAGAGGCCGGGGCGGGGGTGCCGGGGCGGCCCAGCTCCCGCAGCCGTCCCTCGATGTGTCTCCTGGCCAGGCGCGTGGCCATCAGGGCGGGCAGCAGCAGCGCCCACCGCATGTGCACCACGGCCTCGCCCCGGCACCGCGGCAGCGCCCGCAGCCACGCGTCCGTCCGCAGCCGCCGCAGCAGCGCGGCCCAGTGCCCCGCGTGTGCCCGCAGCTCCTGGCACAGCTCCCGCAGCGCCGGCACGGAGTCACCGGGCTCTCTGGGGTCCCCAGGATCCGGCAGCGCCAGCAGCCGCCGCAGGAAGTCAGAGGAGGCCTTGAGGCGTCGGGTGAAGTCGCGGGCCAGGCGGAGCTGGTGGCGGTGCTGCAGCAGCGCGTGCAGGGCCGCTCCCCGCTCCGCCACGCGCTGCCGCACCGCGTCCTCAGAAAAGTCACCGGCGCCGCTGGGATGGGGCCGCACGTACCCCAGGAAAGTCTCGGTGCGAGGGTCCTCCCACACGCAGAGGCAGCGGCGCAGCCCTGAGAAGCTTTGCTCCAGCGGGACCACGATGGACGCTGCTTCATCGTCGTCCTCGTCGTCGTCCTCGTCGCTGTCACCGCGCCGGGACGACCGCGGGGACAGCAGACGCCGCAGTCCCGGGGTGACACTGCGCAGCATGGCCTCTGCCCGCTGCAAGGAGCGTGCCAGGGGCCCCCGCGACCCGCCTGGGGGGTACGGGACCCTCAGGACGGGGCAAGAACCACTCGGAGACCCCCAGTGTGCAGAACCTCGCTGTGAGCACCTGCCCACATCACCTCACCACTGCCACCCTAACCCTGAGACCCCCAGGACCCAGTTACGTTCCCCACAAGTCCCCCAGGATCCTGCAATCCCCCAGGATTCCGCAGACCATTGAGGTCCCCACACGCCATCAATGCCCCCCCACAAAGACCCTGGACCCCATTAGGGTCCTCCACACTCCCCCCAGGACCACACACCCCATCCGGATCCCTGCAGCCCCCCAGAACACCACACCCCGTTGTGCTCCCCACAGCCACCGGCGGTCTCACCAGGCTCCGGGGGCTCCCCGCGGGCAGCCCCATCTCCCGGTCCCGGTCGGGCCGTCAGCAGCAGCAGGATGAGGCCGCCCAGGCCGGCATCGCCCACCTGGAGGGGGCACAGCGGGCTTAGGACCCCTGGACCGGGACGACGGGCGGGGCCACGCGTGACCCCGCCTATTACCACACTGACCACGCCCCCTCCTACAGTATCCGCGCTTTGACCACACCCCCATCTGACTCCCGCTGTGACCACGGCCCGGGCTCGCCACATTTGGCCACACCCTCCGCCCCGCCCCCTGTGCCATTGCCATGGAAACATAGCACTGCCTGGGCCCGGCGCCCACCCGCCTACCCCGTTACCGGCCCGGCCCTACCGCTGCCCCGCGAGCGGTGTCCGAGCCCCCCCTGCTCCGAGCGGCCTCACCTGCAGGCATAGCTCCCCGCCGCGCCGCTCAGCGCCGCCGGCGTCCATGCCGGGCCATGGCGGGGGCGGCGGCAGCAAAGAGGCTTAGGCCGCGCCCTCGCTAATCCGGGGGGCTGGGCCAAGCTGGCCGCCAGGATGGGCCCGGCGTGAGGGGCGGGGTGCGGCCGAGCCCACGGCCTTGGAGCAGGCGGAGACCGCGGGAGATTATGTGGAGCCCCGATCCCGCTCCGCCCGGGCCCTGCGGGCCGCCGTCCTGCCCGCATCCAACATGGCGGCGAGGAGGCCTCAACCGTCGCCGTGACGTTTTTCCGGTAGGCCCGTGATGCAATTGTGAAGCGCGGCGGCGGTGGCTCTTAGCGATACGGGGCTCGGGCGGGACGGGAGAGTGAGACGGGTCCGGACTGGGTGGCTGCGGCTTCGGGTCTGCCCCTGCTGCCTGCCTCTGCGGCTGCACGCTCGGCCCCGCTGGCTGGAGCGGCGGTACGGGCCTTGGCGGGGCCGGGGGGGGCGCAGGGGTGGGAGACCGGAGCGGGGCCCGCTGGCGGCCCGGTTTCGGTTCCGCCTCTGTCTCCGTCGGCTCATGGCTGTTCGTGCTTCCCACAGAGCCCTTCTGCCCCCAGCACCGTATGTCCAGCTTCGCCGACTTCCCGGTGCCGTCGCAGGGCCCCTCCCAGACGGTGATCAAATACAAGACGGGGGAGGTGTGTCTGCTCTGGGACGACGGTGAGTGGGGCTGGGGCTGCCGGGGCTGCCTGCTCGAGAGTTGCCAGGGGAGGGGGAACGGGATGGGGGCTGGTGGGGTCTGCTGCCTGGGACTGTTCCTCACACACTCCGTTCTCCTATCAGGCCCGAGGGTGGATTATTACCAGGTGGGGTGTGGCGATGACGATGACGACGGCAATGACGATTACGATGAGGACGGGTTCGACGGATTCCAGTTCTTGGATGTTCCCGTCGCGGAGCGGCCCATTCCCTACAGCTACTGCGGCTTCCGCGAGTCCTTCCTGTGTTCGGACCTGCCTCCACAGCTCCCCCGGACATCTCCGACCGTCCTCGATGCGCGGCTGGAGCGGTTGCCCACGCCCCGCCTCACCTGGCTCACGGCGGAGGTGGGAAATCCCTGCACCGCTCCTCCTGCTCTCCAGGGCCTGGGGGATCCCGGGTTGATATCACAGGAGGGGTCCCACCTGGTGGCCCCCGGGGGGGTTCCTCACTCAGGGCATTCCTCCCGCAGGAAGCTGAGAGGAACGCGCAAGAGCTGGTGGCAGAGGAGGAGCGGGCAAAGAGAAAGGCAGAGAAGAAGAAGCTGAAGAAGAAGGTGGGTGAGCCCACTGGCAGCCCCAGGGGATTGGGGTCAATGCCTCTTCTTGGGGTGCTGCCAGTGGGACCCTGAGCTTGGGGATTGCATGGCTGGGGGCTGAGGGTGGTAGGATTTGGGGGACTGCATTTCTCTGACTAACACCTGCTCGTGGGTCCATGTTCTCTCTTTCTAGAAACAAAAAGACAGAAAGAAACGGGAGAAACTGGGCCAAGAGCAGAAGAACAAAGAGAACACTGACCCAGTGAGTGATTGGTCCAGCCCCCTTGTGCTGTTCTGGGGTTCCCCAGAAGTGGGAGCCAGCCAGCACCCTATAGCCCTACTACCTTTGCCTCCTTCTTTCAGAGCCGCTCAAGTGGCCCTGCAGGCACTGGGCCCCCCCCAAATGGTGCTGAGGATGAGGGATGCTGCCCAGAGCCCTCCTCGTGCCCTGGGGACTCCACAGTCCCCTTGGGGGAGGAGCCTGAGCTGGAGGACACAGCAGTGACAGAGGTGAGGGGCAGTCTCCCCAGGGAGTCCATCGCGGGGGGAGGCAACCCAGGACTCTCCCTGCCCATCCCTGCCTGCTTCCCCAGGAGGAGCTGGACCTGAGCTGCACTTTTGTCTGCAAAGCACGGGAGAAGGCTGGAGTCCGGCTGCCCCCCCCAGGTAGTGACCGGTCCCCTGGGACACAGAACATGGAGCCAAACAGGAAGGTGCCAGAAAAGGAGAGTAGAGACCCTGTGAAGAGACCTGTGCCCTCCCAACCCCTCCAGCCCAGACCACCCAGTCCCAGCACATTAGAGCAGAGCCTGGCTCTTGCAGGTCAGTGTAAGGATCCTTCGACGAACGACGGGACGGCTCTGAGGGCTCTCCCTACTTCTGCTCAGCTCGGGGAAGCTGTTCTAGGAGCACTGTCCCTCCCTGTGTCCTCAGTAGTCACTCCTGTGTCACCTCTCCAGGCCATGGCATCGAGGCAGCCCAGATGGGCCAACACAATGAGGCCGTTTGGGCTTTCACTGCTGCCCTGGAGCTGAATCCCCGAGAGCACCGGTGAGCAGAGTGGCTTGGGGTAAGCTGGAGGGTCCTGGGGTGGAAGGGACAGGCCACAGTGACACCCCCATCCTCACAGGCTCCTGGGGAACCGCTCGTACTGCCTAGAGAAGCTGGGACGATACGAGGAGGCACTGGCGGATGCGGAGGCGGCGCTGGCGCTGCGGCCGGGCTGGCCCAAGGGCTCCTTCCGCAAGGGCAAGGCCCTGCTGGGGCTTCAGGTACCTGGGGGGGGGGGGCTCCAGGGTCTCTGTGGCTGGCTGCAGGGGCCTGGAGGGGATTGGAGGAGGGGCTGGAGGAGATGGGTGTCATGGCTGGGTGAGGGGCTGCTGGGTTCTAGGAGTGAGTATGCGGCTTTTCATGGTGCAGTGGGATGTTGTTGGAGACAAACTGGGGCTTTTGGGGTGCTGGTGGACTGGGCAGGGGGCTGAGGGGTGCCAGTGGGTCTGGGTGGGAGCTGTGGGGAGCTGGAGGGGCTGTAGGGTGCAATGGCTGAGTGGGGGAGCGGGGTGCTGGTTGCATTAGGTGTGAGCTGGGGCTGGGAGGATTGGGCAGGGAGCTGGGGATGCTGCAGGGTTTTAGTGGGCTGGGGGATGTCAGTGAGGCTTTCAGGTGCCATTTGGGCTGGGTGGGGGGTGTGGGGTGCCTGTGGGGCCAGGCAGGGGGCTGCAGGTGCCCTCCGGCCCCCAGCGCTACACCGAGGCCGCACGCACCTTCGAAGAGCTGCTGCTGCAGGATGGGTCCTATGCTGAGGCAGCCACGCAGCTGGAGGCCTGCCGGGCCCAGCTGCAGGTGAGATCCCCTTTCCCAACCCTTTAGCTCCTGCCCCCTGTCCTGCTGTGCTCCCCACGCCTCACCCCTGTCCCCTCACAGCAGTGCAGCCTCCCCGGGGATGTCCCCGTGTCCCCATTCCTGCTCAAGGCTAAGGAGCCGCTGTTTCTCCCTGGTAAGGGGCAGGGATGGGTGGGCTGGGGGGACCCCAGGGTGTGTCCTCAGTGGGTGCTGAGCTCCTTTGGCAGCAGGATGGACGACCAGGAGCTGCCAGAACACAGGTGACACAAGTGTGACAGGAGGCAGCGCTGGGACCCCCACAAGAGACCTGAAACGGGAACCCACTGTGGCCAGTGGCCACCCAACACTGCCACCAAGCCACCCCGCCAGGTATGGCTGTCTGGTGATGTGGGGGGGCCCAGAGTGACTGGCTCTGATGACACCAGGATGGCTCTTGGCAGGGACTGCTTCCCTCTCTGGGTGGGCAATGTCACCTCCCACATCAATGAGAAGGTGTTGCGTCGTGCCTTTGGCCGGTGAGTGACCCCCAGGACCGCTCCTCCTCCAGGAGCCCAAGACCCTGGCACAGCTCTGGTGACCCCCAAGCTCTCCAGCTCTGCCCCTCTCCTCATTCTCTGGTGGTTTTGACCTGCAAGGGATACTTGGGGGGTAGTCTCTGACTACCTTCTGACTACCCAGTCACTGCCCCCAGGTTTGGGGGTCTTTATCCCACAGCTTAAGATATCTTTAACTGTTCCTCCTCAGGTTTGGGAGTCTCTGTTCCCCCATTCCACAGGTTTGGGGGTGCCTCACTCTCTCCATCTTTGGCAGTCTTTCATCCTTCCCCAGCTGTTGGGGGTTGCTAAACCTGCTTTGCATGTTTGCGAGTCTCTGGCCCTCCCACCCTGCAGGTTTGGGGGGGTCTCTAACCCTCCACCTCTCCATTTAGGAATCTCTAACTGTTGCCCCCCCCCACATTTGGGGTTCTGTGCCCCCCAGGTTCGGGGAGATCCGCTCTATGCGGCTTCTCCCAGGGCGCCACTGTGCCTTCATCAACTTCTGTGGCAAGGCAGAGGCCGAGGAGGCCTTCAGGGCCATGCAGGTGAGCTGGGGCTGCTTGTGGGACCCCTTCACCCCTCAGGTGGCCCTGGGACACCCCATCCCCACAGGGGATCTGCTCCAGTGCCACCTGCCAGTTACTTTTGTCCCCAGGGTGCCACCGTGGAGGGCAGCAAACTGTTGTTGCAACTCAAGCACCCATCCCACGCCACCCCGGCCCCCATGCCCCGTGCCAAGGGCAGGGCCACCCCTGGGGGGCTGCTGAATTGACCCTGCTCTGCTGCGGGGGCTGCCAGGGCCGCCACCACCACCTGCCTGTACCTTCTTGTGCCTTGTCCCCCCGTGCCAGGGGTGGAATTATCACCCCCTCGTGCCTTAGGGGTGCTGGGGGTCGGGGCCCACCTTGCAGCCCCTTGTGCTGAGATGGTGGGCCTGAGCTGTTCCCCGTTGCCCCTCAGGGATTTGTATCAATTTGGGGTTTTTAATAAAACAGATTTGTTTTTCTCTCTGGCCTTCCTTTGGTGTCCCTCAACCTCTCTGCCACCCCTTTCCATCACAGTCTTGGACTCCTCACTGCTCCAGCCCCCCATGTCCCACCCTGTGTCCCCCCGTGTCCCCCCTCACTCCCCTTGTCATTCCAGCCCTGGGGGAGAGCGAGGGGGGGACCTCCACCCCCTCTTAATGTCACTGGCTGGTGACAGGAGCATGAAGGGGGGGGTGACAGGCGTGAGATCAAATACAATTTGATTAATATGCAAATTGAGGGGGGCAGGGGCCGCAGCCGGTAATTAATCACCGGTTAAAACAAATTAATGCCCGCGGTGGGAGGTGCTCGCCCGGAAAAAACGTCTGGGGTGGGGGGCTCTGGGGTCCATATTAAGGTGTCGCCTTTATTGCAAATATTTACACCGGGGCTGATAGAAAATAAAATTAAAAAAAAAAAAGAAAAAAACAAACAAACAAACAAAAAAAACCAATGGAAAGACGAACAAAAAAAAATAGCCGAAAAAGGGTGCACCGATGGGGCGGGGCTGGGCTCGGCTCTATTCGGAACCGAGCCGAGCGGATGTGGCAGAGCCGAGTCAGTCCGAACGGAACCGAGTGCACCCGAGCGGAGCCGAACGGAGTCCAGTGGAGCCGAGCGGATTCACCCGGCTTGAACCGACCCGAGTGAATCCGAACTCAGCCGAGCCGGCCCGAACGGAACCGCGTGGATCCGAAAGAAGCAGTTTCCGCCCGAGTGGATCGGAACAGAGCCGACCGGAGCCGAGCGTGCTCGGCTCAGTCCGCCACGTCGATTTCCTCCTCCGAGAGCTCGGCAGGCTCTGTGGTCCCGGTGCCGGTACCGGGAGATCTCGGGGGCTCGGGCAGCCCCGCCAGCTGCTGCAGGGCGGCGGGGGGCAGCGCTTGCAGCGAGGCCACGTCCGCCCGCAGCTCCTCCAGGTCCCGCTTGAGCTTGGCGCGGCGGTTCTGGAACCAGGTGATGACCTGGGCGGCGGAGAGCGCCAGCCGCGCAGCCAGCGCGTCCCGGTCCACCGGGGAGAGGTAGCGCTGCCGCCGGAATCGCTGCTCCAGCTCCCGCAGCTGCTGCGCCGTGAACGCGGTCCGGGACTTGCGACGCTTCCTGCAGGGAGGGCGCGGGCCCGAGACGCCCGGCGGGGACGGACCTGCGGAGACAGCGGGGTTAGGACACGGAGAACGGGGAACAGCACTGGGACCCGCACCGGGGAACGGACCCCGGGCACCCCCGGTAACGGGACCGGGACCCGCAGCAGCACCAGGATGCTCGGCGAGGAAGGGTTTGTGGGGCAGGGTACCGGCACCGGGACGGCACCGGTACTGCTGAGCCGTGCGGAGCACCGCGGGTCCCGACCTGCGGGGACAGCGGCGTCAGATCAAAGACCCCGGGACCCACCGCGAACACTGCGCGTCCCGACCTGTGGGTACAGCAGTGCCGGGGCACAGGTAACGGCACCCGCACCGGCCCCGCCGAGCCGCTCCGAGCCCTGCGGGTGGGTCCCGTCCCCACCGACTCCAGGTGGAACGGAGACGAACCGGACCACATCGAACCGAATGCAGACGAGCCCAACCCCAGTCGTGCACAACGGAACCGAGCAAGCCAAACCGCGGCCGGCGCCGGAAACCGGGAGTCATCGTTCTACAGCGGCCCCGGTCGTGTCGGAGTCTCCCCCACTGCGACCGGGGCTGAGACACCCGTGTGCCGCCGGCAGCTGCTCCGGGACTCCGGAACGAAGCCGCAAGCCTCGGTAGAGAACCAGGATCTTCCTTCTTCTCCGCGATACCATGAGACCCAAGGCCGTGCTGGTCCCCGCATTCGATCTCGTGGCCGCTCCCGGCCCCGGTGCGCTGGCTCTGCCCCTAGCGACGTAGAGAACCCCCGGCGAGACGAGGATCGCCATCCCGGGCACGGCTCCACGCCGCCGGCGGGATCCCGATCGCGGTCCCGATCTCTTTCCCGCTCCGGCCCCCGGTCCGTTCCAGCCTCGTCGCTGCCGGCGGCACCGACCAGATAACGCGGCTCACTCGGGCAGTGCGTCCCACTGTAACCGCGGTGGCTCCCGGGCTCTCTCACAGCCCGGACTCCACTCCTCCCGGGCGGTCCCGACCGAGTCCGTGGGTCCGTCCCGGTAGCACGGCTTTACCACGGTCACGAAAACCCGATCGATGCGGTGTTCGTCCGTCACTTCAGTAACGGGGCTTCCCCTCCTCTCTCGGACCCCTGATCGGTCCCATTTCTCTCTGTCAGTCCCAGTAACGGGGATTTACCCCTCTCAGGGAGCTCTGGTCGCTCCACTGTCAGTCTGTCCTTCCGTCGCGGTGAAGAGGCGTTTTCGTTCATCACGGAAGCCCTGGGCTGTCCCGGCTGTGTCGGTGGATCCGCCCGGTAACGAGGTTTTACCTGAATTTACCGGCACTTCCATCTGTCTGCCAGTGCATTCCGCCGTTACCCGCGGCCGGTTCGCGACCGGGTTTTGTTAATTCCGAGATCCCCACTCGGCCGTGTCCATCTATCCGGCCGGTACCAGAGCTTCATACTCTCTCCGGGAGCCCCGATCACTCCCGCGTTTGCCCGGCCGACTGCGGGTATTTTTTCGTTCATTTTTATTAGTCCTGTGTCTGTCCTTCCGTCCAGCCGGTAATGAGAATTTACCTCCGCCCCGAGAGCCGCTATCGTTCCGATTTTTGTCCGTCTGATCAGCCGGTAACATTTTTTTCTTTATTTTTTTCGATCCTTTTTCTGTCTATCTGTCCGTCCGGTAACGGGCTCTTTTACCTTAATTCCGGGAGCCCCGATCGGCCCGGTTTCTGCCTGTCTGTCCGTCCTGGAAAAGGGAATTTTTTCGTCCCTGTTCCTGTCCGTCTGTCCACCCGGTAATGGGATATTTTCGCTCATTTATTTCGTTCCTTGCCGTGTTCGTCCGTCAGATAACGAGGGTTTTTACCTTAAAATCTGGCACCCGAGGTGTCCCCGTTCTGTTCGTCTGTCCGCCCGTTAACGGATTGGTTTATTCGTTAATCACAGGAGCCTCGCTCTGACTGTCCGTCTGTCTGCCCGCTATGGTGGGTTCTTTAATTACCGGAGCGCCTCTCCGTAATTATGGATTTAATTTTTTTCCCCGTTAATTACGGGAGTCTGGCTCCGTCCTCGTTCATCTGTCCGGCCGGTAACGAAGGTTCGGTTACTCACGGGAGGGCTGATCTAGCGGTCCGTGTCCGTCTGTCCGAAGGGTTTTTCGTTACCGGCGTGAGTCGCGTTGTGCCAAACCGTATCCGTTAATTACTGGTACGCTGCTCTGCCGTGACTGTCTGTCTGACCGTCCCGGTAATGTGATTTTTTCCACGGAGACCCTCTCTGTCCGTGTTGGTAAGGGACAGTGATTGTTTCTACGTAAATTACCGGAGCCGTTTTCGGTCAGTCCGCGTCGGTCTGTCTGTCCCGATAACGGTTTTATTAATTCCCGGCGAAGCCGTGCTTTGCCTGTCCGTGTGTCCAGCCGTGTGAGGGATTTTTCGTTAATCCCAGAGTCACGATCTGTCCGTCCGTGTTCGTCTCTCCAACCCAGTAACGGATTTTTTCGTTCCCGGAGGGCGCCGCGCTGTCTATCGGTATCCGCCCGTCCTCCCGGTTCGGCCCAACTCGGGAGGTGCTGGGCCGGTTCGTCCCCGTCTCTGAGCGGCCATCGGACCCTGCCAGTGCAGGGCTGCTCTGTCACGCCAAGCCCCGGACAGAGCCGCCGTCCCCGCTGAGGGTCGGGGCCGGTACCGGGTTTCCGTTGCCGGCGGGCCCGATCCGCCGCTCGGCCCCCGCGCTCGGTCACGGTCACGGTCACGACTCGGCGGCGCCGATCCACCTCCTGGTCCCGCGGCTCCCGGTAAAGCTGCCGGCCCCGGCGCGGCCAGTTGTCCCGGAGCTCTGGTTTCTCGGTGCCTGTGGCGGCTCACCGGAGCCGGGGCTCGCTCCGGTTCCCTGTGTCCGGCCCCGGGACTTTTCCTTCCCTTCGGACTGAGGCTGCCGCTTGTCTCCGGTGTCCCGGCCGAGCACCGGCGGCTTCTCGGGCCTCCCAGCCGCGCTCGCCCCTCTGGGATAAGGAGGAAACTTCCCGGGGCGGGGGACAAGGGACGTCGCTCACCTCGCCACGGCCTCCCCACCACCCTCCAGCCCCGCCACCTGCCCGGTGCCCGATGCCCGGTTCCCGGTGCCCTCCCCGATCCCGGCGTAGTCCCCCCGCCCCGGCAGCCCCCCGGCCCCGGTACCTCCGGCCGCCTGCAGCATTCCCAGCTCCAGCCCCTGAAACGTTTTACTGGCGAGTTCCTCCAGCGCCCAGAGCGGCGAGGCCGGGGCGCAGCCGCCGCCGCCGCCGCGGGGCCCTGTCGGGGCGGGGGGGGCTGTGGGACCGGTCCCGGTCCCGGGGGGGCTCCCGCCGCGGGGGCGCCCCAAGATGTCCTCGATGCCGAAGGGGGTCAGCGGTTTTGTGGTGTTGGCGGGGGGCGGGAGCCGGTCCAGGGGGCTCCGCCGGTGGCCGCCAACCGCGGCGGGCAGCGGGGGGGAACCGGCCGCCTCCCCCGCCGAGGTCATGCCGGGACCGGGACCCGCGCCGGGACCGGGACCCGCCGCCGCCGCCCCCCAGCCCCGCGATTCCCGTTCCACCGCCTTAAAGCCCCGGGATACCGGGAGGAGGAGGAGGAGGAGCCACCGACGCCCCCCCTGTCGAGGGGGGGGACCGACCCCTCTCCGCCACTACCGGGGCGCAGCCCCGCGCCTCCCCCCTGTTGTCTCCCCCATTTTAACCCACCCCAGTGCGTCCCCCCTCCTTGTCTGCTCCCTCCTCATCCTCACCGCGGCTCTTACCCTCATCCAAAAATTTATTGGCTCTTTTGCTCTAAAATGCCCCATAAAAGCATCGGGGCCGCGGCTGGGAGTGATTAAGCCCTTTTGGGTGGGTTTTGGGTTTCAGAGCCATAAATTCCGCCCCCCCCTCCCCACATTCCCGCTGCCCTTTCCCGGTACAAATAGCTCCGGGATTTCGGCCGCTCGTAAAAATCCCGGGATGCCGCACACGCAGGTGAGGCCCGGCTGGCGACGCCGCGTCCGGATTATCCGGCGAGTTTGGGGCTGGGGGATGCCGAATTGCCCCTCCGGAGAGTTGATTCGACACCCCCCATCCCCAATCCCGTCGGGTGTCCCCATGGATCTGTCGCTGGGATCGGGGACATGGCGAGGTCACGGGGGTCACGGCGGTAATGAACCTGCGGACGATGCGGGGGGGGCCGGTGGGAGCACACGGAGCCGGGTTGGGGGAGCAGGTGCAGGGGGATCCGGCAGCGCCGATGCCAGGATTATGGAAGTGGGGAGGGGGCGGGAGGGAGGCGGGAGGGGGGGGGGGATTTTTCCAATCTTGCTGACAAAGGCAGAACGCGATCTCCCGGCTGGAAATCGGAGTTTGACAAATTCAACCTTGAAATTTCCCAGCAGCCGGAGCAATTAAAGGCCGGCGGGTGGGGGGGTGGGGAGGGGGCTCGGTTTGGGAGAGGGACACGGGGCCCCTCGCACGGCGGCGTGCCGGGCACAGCGGCGTTTGCACGGATTCCTCGCACGCGGCTTTTGTCCTCTCCGCAGGGCGCGGGGAGATGGCGGAGCTGCCGTGGCCGCACGTGCCGCCGGCTCTCACCGGGGAACGGAGCCCGTCCCGGGATGCAGGCGAGCTGGGACCCCCACTCCCACCCTCCCACGGGAGCTGCCAGTGGTCCTGCACTCGGATGGACCCCTGTGAGCCCAGTCCCTTCCAGCAGCACCGCTGGCATGAGGCCACCGTGCCGGCCACAAGGCCCTGGGCGTCCGGTGAGCAGGGAATGGGGGTCGCAGCCGTTCCCAGGAGTCCCAACCCTTTCCGGGGATCTCAGCCCCATGGGGAGGCCGTGGTCTCAGTCCTGGTTTAATGCTCTGGGACACACACACTGGGAAATCGCTTCTCGGGGTGATTCTATGTTCTTGTGGTGACGGGGAATTGCGGCCGCCCACCCGCTGAGCAAACCCCTCTGGAACGCTCCGGCTCCTCCGGGGCCAGCGGGATCTCAGCAGCGAGTCCCGGGCTAGGAATGTGGGAGTGCTCCCATCGGGCTGCGACACGGGAATCTGCGGGAACCCGGCAGATCTCCAGCGGTGGTGCTCACCCTGATGGATGAGATGTCACCCTCACCCCATCGCCCCCCTCTCATCAGCCCCCTATTATCCCAACCCCGCATTATCCTTCAGCAGTTGTGGTGAATCCCTGCGCCCAAGGATGCTCCCAGATCATGGTGCTGGCATCTCCTTCCTTCCCTGAGCCCCCACCCGTGTCCCGAGGCGGCCGCTGAGGCATTGCCGGGGTGAGCTGAGCCCCCCCACCCCCTGCCTGACCCCTCCGGCTTCCCCCCGGTGTGGGAAGTGGCGGCTCCAGCTGCCGGGAACACAGGATGGGAAACACTTTTCACCCCAAACCAGGCCACAGGGTGGGAACAAAACGAGCCCTCGGGGGTTTTGCAGGAACACGGGAGCTTCCTGCGGAGTCGGGAGAGTGCCCGGCGCTGGCTCATGGCCCGAGGGGACGGTGACGGGCACGTCCACGGCGTAGGGCTGAGGGCACCCTAAGGTACTACACCCGGTGTGGCACTGACAGCCTCCGCTTTTGTCTCGCTCCTCCACCTCGGGAGTGTCCCTGGGGGTATCTGGGGTGATCCTGGACGTCTGGGACCTCGGCTCCCAGCCACGTCCCAGCCCCTCACCCCGCCATGAGCAGCACCGGGGCACACGCGTGTGTTTGTGTGTGAGTGTGTGTGTGTGTTCACATGAGTGCGCACATTTGAGGGGGGTTATGTGTGCACCACGGTGCGATCCCCGTATGAGGGGGCACCGAGGGGGTGTTGGTGCTGGAGCTGGGGCTGCTGCCGTGTCTCCCCACCCAGCTTCCCCATCTTGGGGGCTGCCGTGTCTCCAAGCACCGGCATCTCCGGGTATTCCCCCCCGCGAGCTGCCGGGAGCGGGGTGCCAGGCACGGGGTGCTGGGGTGCCAGGAGCGCGGTGCCAGGGGTCCGGGAGCGGGGTGTCAGGAGCAGGGTTCTGGGTTGCCAGCGCAGTGCCGGGGGTAACACAATTCGGGGTGCGGTGCCCCCATAACGCGCCTCCCCCGCCCCGCGCCGCCCTGATCCATTATTTATCGGCTCCATCCCAATATTGCGCCGCAGCGCTCCGTAACGCGATTAGGGCCGCGGCCCCGCGCGGCCCCGGCACATGGAAATCGCTGGCAAATGAATTTTCCTTTAATAAGGGAACAGCTCGGTGCGGAATTAAAGTGTAAGGAGCGGCGGCAGCGCCGGGGGGGTGCCGGGAGCCCCCCCGCGCCGGGGGACGGGACCCCAGCAATTACTGGCAATAAATCCTGACCCTGTGGTGGGCTGGGACCCCAGCGAAGCCGGGAATAATGGGATTACACCTGGCTCCGGTGAATGGGGATGGATGTGTCGGGAGTCGGGGGAGCCAGGGGAGAAGAGGATCCCTCCCTGGGGCTGTTGGCAAATCATCGATTCATTAACACGAGCAGCATCGCCCCCCGGGCTCCGGGGGGAGCTGAGCACAACCACGGCACGGGGGGAGCATGGGGCGGGGGGGGAATGGGATGCGGATATGGACATGGGGACAGGGCAGGAGTAGGGACACACGGGGCCCTGTACATGCCCCCACTGCTCCCACACCCGTGTGTCTCTGTGGGCACAACTGCCCCACCAGGCTCCTCGCAGCCATGCGTGCTGGCGCAGCTGTGTGCAGACGTGTGCAGGTGTGCAGGGGCGTGTGCAGGTGTGTGCAGTTGTGTCCAGGTGCGCATGGAGGGCTCACGGACACACCAGCTCACATCCAGAGCCGCCACACGCGTGTGCAGGCACACACACACACACGTGGAGCCATTAGTGCCAGTGCCAGGGACCGGCCGGGGTCAGCGGGTCCCGCCAGCCCCAGCCCCAGCCCCAGCTGCCGCACCCCCCCGGAATCCCCTGCTCGCTCCGGGGCCTCCATTTGTGCCTGGGCCAAACTCCAGCCAAATGGGCCGTGGGCGGGGGGGGGTTGCATTTCAAAGGCTCCGGCTGCAGCAAACGCCGCTGCCCCCCCGCCGGGCTCTCGGCCGCCCACGCCCCCTGACCCCCGCACGGCACGGTCGGGACTGGGGGCACTCCCTGTCCCCGGCCCCAGCAGAGGGACGCGCTGGGACCCCCATGGGGTCGGGGTCCAGAGTTGACCTGCGGCTGTGGTGGGGCGGGGACAGGCTAAACTGTTGGGATGTGGGATCTCAATCCCGCCGTGGAGCAGAACCGTGGCGTGGGGCCGCGTGCCCGCTGCCCACTGAGTGGGTTGGACACCCACCGTGCCGGGGGAGGGAGGGCAGCAACCGGGATGGGGCAGCTGGAGAGGATGGGAAACTCCGAGTGCCTCCGGTGGGTGCCTGGCGTGGGGCACCCCCAGCCTCCCCGTGGCACCGGGACCTCTGGGAGGCCTGCAGCGGGCAGCGGGACGGTGGCGGGTGCCGCGGCGGGGCCGAGGCGGCGGCGGGGCCATGAGGATTCAATTAGGGCTGAGCGCGGGGGACTCGGCTCGGAAATGGCCCGTCTGGGCGTTGACAGCCCGGCCCCCGCCCAAGATGAACGACCCCCGGATTAAAGCGCGGAGGGGTGACAGGGGCACCTGAGCAGGGAGGGGGCTGGGGCGGCTGCGGGGGGGCGGGACCCCGCCTTTGGCACGGCTACAGGGCCACTGAATAGCCGGAAGGGGGTCCCCAGTGAGAGGGGAGACGTGGCACCTATGGGACCACACCAAAACCCGTCTGGGGACACCTCGAGCAATGTCTGCCCACATTGCCCTGCCACAGTGGTGGCAGCAGAGTGGGGGCACCCCGGGGGTCTTACGGGACTCTTCCATGAGTAGGATTGAAGTGGGAGGGAAAACGCCCCTGTCATCCCGCAGGACCCCGAGGGGGCCCGTCCGTCGCTGCGAGCACGGCACAGGGCTCGGGGGATCGATGGCCGCGCGGGTCACCGCTGCCATTAACCCCGGCGAGGCAGCGCCCCGAGGTTAATTAAAAAGTGAAGTGCAACGAAACGCGGCGGCGGCGGGGGGTGACAGTGGTGATGGGGCCTGACAGCAGCGGGAGGTGACAGCGGCAGGGAATGGTGGGGGTGGCACTTGTACGGGCAGCGGGCACGGTGGGTGCTGCAGGGGACACTGTCGAGTGCAGCCGGCAGCAGGAGCTGTCACACTGGGAATGGGGGTGCGGGACAGCGGGGGGGCAGGTGGCACTCAGAGTGTCCCCGTGTCACACGTGCTGCCTGGCAGAGCCGGGTAGGAGGAAGAAGAGGCGTCGCAGAGGAAGCCCCATCCTTCCTCCTCCTCCCACCCCAGCGCTATTCTTAGCCCCGGTCTGTCTTGCATCCTCCCCGCCTGGCGGGGTCCGGCCCTGCGCCCCACGGGAGCTTCGGGGTGGGACAACACGGGGACCCCAAGCGGGGACACCTCCATGGGGAACCTCGTCCCTCTCCGGGCTTCGCTCCCCG